TAACCGAAGATCAAGACATCCTAATTATGGATGGTGATGAGCCAGCGACTTACAAACAAGCAATGACAAGCCCCGACTCTGCAAAATGGAAAAAGGCTATGAAATCCGAGATGAACTCCATGTTTGAAAATCAAGTCTAGGACTTGGTTAATTTGCCCGAAGGTTGCAAAGCTATCGGTTTCAAATGGATTTTCAAGTTGAAAACAAACAAAGATGGAAATGTATCTATATACAAAGCTAGACTGGTGGCAAAAGGTTACAGGCAAATTCACGTAGTTGATTATGATGAAACCTTTTCGCCAGTCGCAATGCTCAAGTCCGTCCGGATTATCCTAGCGATTTCTGCATATTACGATTATGAAATATGGCAAATGGATGTCAAAACCGCCTTCCTTAATGGGATTTTGGAAGAAAATGTGTATATGACACAGCCATAAGGTTTGTTGATCTAAGCAATGCTGGGAAGGTATGCAAGCTTAAAAAGTCCATTTATGGACTAAAGCAGGCAAGCAGAAGTTGGAATCTGTGATTCGATGAAGCCATTAGTAAGTTTGGTTTTATCAAGAATCCAGATGAGTCTTGTGTTTACGAGAAGGTCAGTGGGAGTGACATCGCATTTCTAGTCTTATATGTCGATGACATATTACTCATTGGAAACAACGCTAAACTGTTAGAGTCCGTAAAAGGCTGGCTTGGTAAGTGCTTTTCAATAAAAGACTTGGGAAAGACACAGTACATATTGGGTATCAAGATCTATAGGGATAAATCTAAGAGGATGATTGAATTAAGCCAAAGTACTTATATTGATAAGGTACTGGCACGATTCAACAAGGAAAGGGCCAAGAGAGGGCACCTACCCATGTCCCATGGCATAACTCTCAGCAAGAAGCAGTGTCCACAGACACCTAATGAGCGAGAGAGGATGAGTCAGATTCCATATGCTTCGTTTAATGGATCGATCATGTATGACATGATATGTACTAGGCCGGATGTATCGTATGCCTTAAGTGCTACGAGCTGATATCAATCAGACCCAGGAGAAGAGCATTGGACTATGACCAAGAATATCCTAAAGTACCTGAAAAATGAACAAGGATAAGTTTCTGGTCTATGGTGGCTGTAATGATTTGGTTGTTGAAGGTTATGCTGACGCGAGCTTCCAGACTTACAGAGACGAATCCAAGTCGCAGTCAGGGTACATATTCTGCCTAAATGGAGGAGCGTTTAGTTGGAAGAGTGCTAAGCAGAGCACCACTGCAGATTCTACAACTGAAGCCGAATAATTGGCAGCTTCGGAAGCAGCTAAGGAGGCAGTTTGGATTCGTAAGTTCATTAGTGAACTTATTGTTGTACCCTCCATCAAGGGTCCGATAGAACTCTATTGTGACAACAATGGAGCTATTGCTCAGGCCAAGGAGCCAAGGGAACACCAGAAGGTCAAACATGTCAAGCAGCGATTTCACATGATAAGGGAATGGAAGTCCGAGGGTGAAATCAGAATTTGTAAGATTGTAATGGACGACAATGTTGCCGATCCATTGACTAAACCTTTGCCTCAAGTGAAGCACAACAAGCACGTTGAGACAATGGGGATCAAGCATGTTGGAGATTGGCTTTAATTTCCGTGTATATGTGTTTTAATTAAACTTGATGTTAACACTATGTTGAACCATTCAGTTTTGGAGCAATTAAATTTTCAGCAAATTTATTATTACTCCATTTCTATTTAATTGTGGTTTAAAATTAAATAATAAGTCCGTTCGATTACAAAGAATATTCCAAACATGGTATCAAGACCATGTCTCGAATAAAGAAACACCTATTAAGTAAACATTGAATATTTTAATCAAAAATTATCCCTAATCAAGGTCATTTAAACGATGGACGATTAATGACCACTTGAGATTAGTGTGAAGTATGATTTATAACACCGTTTCTTGTGCTACGAGGACATGATTGTCATAAATCATTTGCACAGGTGCTAGATTGGAACTATACCAGATCGACCTATGAGAATACTTGCTTTAAGAGATATAAAATCGTCATAAGTATATTTCTCATTATAGCTATCGAAACCTTTTTCCTCGACCATGAGTATTGCAAGTTCTCTTGTTTGAGTACTAGTCGTTTTGGTGTTGTCAAATGTCTATCGTAAATAGGGATTATAACGGCAACACTCAGGCGACTAGGTCCTCTTAGTAAGAGAAGCTTACAGTACAAGACTGGGAACGTCCCCCTATTAACAATAGGGAATATGTCTTTGTTGTTTACAAGGCCTCTCGAAGAGCAAGACTGTGAAAATGCATGGCCGTGCTCAAATGAATTTTAGAAATCATCTGCTTATTGACAGTCAAACCCGGGAATCAAGAAACACTTCTGGACGTAATAAGGATGACGAGGAATCTTACCTTATAGTTCATGAAGAGACATTAAGCGACATAGGAAAAGGGCTATACACTAATTGCACACTTGTCCGAAAGGACAAGTGGGAGATTGAAAGGAATGGTGTCCTTCCAACAAGTGTATTATTCCGATAAAGGGTTCGGAATTATTAGAAAGCTAATTCTTCAGTGAGGTTAAGTGATCGGAATGCCTAGGTGGAGGCCGCTTCCGATCAGTAATAATAATGCATAATTAATATTACGGCTTAATTGACTGAACCCTTCGGGTCGCACCCCAATCGAATAACCGATCCAAATCAACGAATCAATCCGAAGGATTAGATGAGTCATTAGAGTATTATGAACAAAGACGTCGGATATCGAGCTTAGAGCGTCGAGACCGAGCGTCGCAAGTCGAGTCGAATATAGAATTCGACGAGACGTGAAATCAAGCAAGCGACAAGTTTGAGCCTAGCCGTAGCCTCACATTGGCCTAGCCATGCAAGTGCTAGGCTGGGCGAGGTCACCAACCCATGCTCATCATGGGTGCCTAACATCCCCTAGCACATGCACATCGCATGGCATAAGCATCGCAAGATACGTGCATGCGTGTGTGTTGTGTGGCTGTGCATGCATGGCTAGGAGTGCTAGCATAACAGCACTAGCCATCACATCGTGCTAGGCATGGGCAAGCACAGCTCGCAAGCATCGCAAGCATGGTGCGTTGCGTGCTTGCTAGCATGCTAGGCCAAGCACCCAACCATCGCTAGCACCAAGCATTGCACATGCTAACAGCATGCTGCGGATGCAAGTGCTAGGTTGTGCGTGTTTGCTTGCCAAGCTGGGTCAGGCATCGTTGCACGTTGTGCTTACATGGCAGCGTAGGGGGACCAAGCAGGAGCACGCTATGCGTGCTGGCCTCGCATAGCAGCGCATAGGCACCAGCCCAGCATGCGTGCTTGCTAGCAGCACGCATGCATAGGCGTGCTGGCTGGACAACCCAGCCTTGGTGCTAGGCGCTAGCTGGCAGCCTTGGCAGTCAAGGCAGGCTGCTAGCCAGCCAAGTGGTGGAGTGGTCCAGTTTTTGTGTGAGGACCAATGGTTGGTGCTTGGCTTGGGGAGCAAGGTGAGTTGTTCCCCCCTTGGTGGTCCTCACCTACTCTCTCTCCCTCCTTGTGCCACTTGTAGCTTGTTGATTGAATTGCAATTTTATTTTGTTTTTATTAAAATAAATTAGAGAAAATTGCAAATCTCCCACATTGATGGGAGAACGGAGATCAAGTCTCCATTCCCTATAAATACCCAAGTTTTGGGTTTTGGGAAGAACACTTGAGTGGAACTAAAAAGGCATCTCCTTAGTAAAGTGAGAAAACCTTAAGTTTGTAATACTCTAAATTTTATTGGTCAAGTCCCGACTAACTTCGGGACTAAGACCGTTCGGGTCGGGTCGATGGTGCGAGCCGTAGGAGGCCGTCGCACTTGCGAGGCTCGGGCTTTGAAGTAAGAGCTCGTGAATCGAGCGAAGCACGCGTCAAGGCTAAGAATGTCTTTTCTCTTTCTCTCTTTTATGTTGTTAATTATGTGATTAAATATTTAGTTGCATTAATTAGTGAGCGGGTCTTGGGTGGGTTTCTCTTCCGCGTAGCGTTGGACGCTACGAAACCCAACACAGATCAGCCGAATCACGCAACGGATCGATCGGATCAGATTTTTTGCCCAACCCTAATAGAAGCTAAGGTCATAATACCAAATTGTAATAAGAGTTTATTCCCAAATAAAAAAAATTCGCGGTTTCAAAAAAAAAAAAAAAAGGATTTTTTTTCGCACATAATATATACTCCCTTGTACATAAAATATTATATTAACGTTGTCTCAATCTTTCTAATTTTTAAAAAAATCATATTCACATAAACCCACACGCTTTACTCTCACTTGCTTCCTAAATTTTTCATTTATTTTTCCCCTTCTCACATTCTTCTCAATTTTTTTTTCTCCAACTCCTTCTTATTAACACGAAATATTACGGAGTACAATTAACTCGCTATTAACCCGAAACATTACGCTATTAACCCGCAACTCGCATAAAATCCAATCAAACCCATAAATATGGCCAATATGGCCATATGGGTGCCTAGTTGTGGAGGCCGTTACAGTACTAAAAAAAAAAAAGAACAAAAATAAGTTACATATTGCAATAAAAACAAACTCCAAAGATATATTCCTTTAATAAGTCACAACTCGCGTCTCCCATGCTTTCGTCACTTTTCTCCCCTTTCACACTCTTTTTCTTTCCACGTCAGCAACAAATCCTTTAATTCTCTAACAAACGTTGACTTAAGTCACCCTTCTTCTTCTTCTACTTCTTCCCAAATACTCCAAAGTACACAATATTAAAACCAAAAAAATAAAAATGGTGAATGAAATTATCAAAAGCTTAACCGCCAAGCAAAAAAAAAAGGACACCATTGTAAATTCACAATTTTGGGCTTCCGACCCTTCTAGAATTCCTCTCTTATATATGTACACAACAGTTGAATTTCCCATTTTCATCACTAACATTTTCAATTTTCTCAAAACCAAAAAAACAAAAAAAAAAAGGTTTGTGTAAGAAAAACAAAAATGGAAGGTAGTTATGGAAGAGGACATGGTCGTGGTCGTGGTCGAAGAGGAGATGGCGGTGGCGGTCAGGGCGGCGGCGGTCGTGGTAGTGGTGGAAGAGGTGCTGGCTATGGCAGTACAGACGGAGGTGGTGGTAGTCATGGCGGAATTGGCAGAGGTGCTACTCATGGCAGAAGAGACGGAGGTGCTACTCATGGCGGAAGAGGCGGGTTTGGTCGTCGTGGTTGTGGTAATCAGCATTACCAGCAGCATCAGCAACCGCGGCCACAGTTCCAGCACCACCACCCTCAGCAACCGCGCCCACAGTTTCAGCAGCGCCAGCAGTGGCCGCAACAACCGCCGCAGTTCCAGCAGCATCAGCAGCAGTGGCCGCAGCAACCGCCGCATTACCAGCAGCCGCAGTTTCAGCAGCAGCGGGCGAGTGGTGGTAGTATGGGGTCTGGTAGGAGGTATTCTGGCGAGGGTTCTTCTTCTTCTTCTAACAAGCAACTAGCGTGTGTTGGTGATGGTTTTGCTGCTAAATTGCGACAATGTGCTAAGTCTGTTCCTGATCTTGATGTTGATTCTGGTATATCTCTTTAAACATTGTTATAATTCGCAGAAATTATAATAATAATGTTATAATGTCGTCGTTATTTGCGTTATTTATCATATACTATGTATTATTGATAAATTGTCTGCAAATTTTGTTTGATTGATTTTCTGCTCTTGTTATGGTGTTGTTTGGGTTGAATTTTAGTTAGTTCCATTATTATCTTATACGAATTTGAATGTTGATCATCTGTATGATTTTTAACAATATTGATGTGTGATTTTGTGAATTTTATATGGATTATTTGTGAATATTCATCGTACATGTTTTGTTGATATTATATGATTTGCATTTAACATATAATAATAATGTTATAATTTCATCGATATTCATTATTTACCATATAATACTGATAAATTGTCTGGAAATTTTGTTGGATTGATTTTCTGCTTTGGTTTGTTGATGTTTGGGTTGAATTTTAGTTCTGCCATTATTACCTTGTACGAATTTGAGATCATCTGGGTGATTTTTAATAATATTGATATGTGATTTGTGAACAATAGTATATGGATTATTTTGCATTGAGATTCATTGTATATGATTTGTTATTGCATTTAGCTTCTTCGATCCTCTGTTTCTCAAACTCTTACTTTGTGTTTTATGCATAATTCTTGATACTAAGTGTAGAAATGTACGATTAGCCTAGCCTCATCGGCTTAAATTAGCTTTAACTGTCGGGGGTGTATGTGGCTAGACTCTCCTCCTTTTCGTGAGACGTTGAACAAGCCTGTTTCGTGAGGTAACATAGTTTAAGGGTTTTCGGAAATGGGATTTATATTTTTTTGGTAGTCAGTTATGGTTTTATGTATGGTGATTAAATTGGCTGAAAAGTAGTAATTACACTATTCTACAGATGGTATGACTTGTTTGTTCTCCTTCGATTGCAATATATAAGTTGTGTGGCATCTTTTTGTTGTGAGAATTCAGGGAATGAAGGCACAAGGCAGTTGGTTTTTGTATTGTAGTTGTAAATGTTCTGAATCAAGAAGCATGTGCCTGACAGTCCATTATATTTTTTTTCTTGCTTTGTTTTGCTTCATAATGAAGTGTGTTAATACGTTTTTTATTCTCAATCAATCATATTACTTTAGGGACGCAGTCGTCAGAGTCAAATGGAGCTTCTGATCGTGGAGGATTAGTGCCTATCAAACGACCTGAAAATGGTAGCTCATAAAAGGAAAGAAATGTGAAACTTCTCGCCAATCATTTTAATGTCAAATTTGAATCAAATATTGTGATTCAACACTATGATATTGATGTCAAGCCTGAATTCACATCTACTAGTACCTCCCCTGTGAAGATACCAAAGGCTGTCAAGCCTGAAGTCTCATCTACCAGTGCCTCCCCTGTAAAGATACCAAAGGCTATTCTGAGTTTGATTATCGAAAAGTTCTTTAAAAAAGAAGAACCAGATCTCATAGAAAAGTATGGTTTTGATGGCAAGAAGAACATATACAGTGCAGCTCTTTTGCCAGCTGGGGATTATACAGTGGAGCTTTCTCGTGAGGATGATGGGAGGGGCAGCAAATACAAGCTCAGTATCAAGCATGTGAATACGCTGCAGCTATGTAGATTGAATGATTATCTTGGTGGAACTCACCGCAGCTTCCCCGTGAAGTATTGCAAGGGTTGGGTGTTGTCATGAAGGAGAATCCCAGGAGGAAAATGATCAGCATTGGCAAAAGCTTTTACGAAAACAATCCAATGGAGCGTCTTGGGTGTGGACTTCTAGCATCAGAAGGGTTTCAGCAGAGTCTGAAGCTAACTTCAAAAGGCTTAGTATTATGCTTCGATTACTCAGTTATGGCATTTCGTGATTCAATTAACGTACGTGAATATCTTTCGGAGCATTTTCATTCTTGGAAGTTTGATTATGCTAACGGCCCTAACACATTCTGTAAACATTGGAAGAAAATTGTGAAGGCATTGGTAGGTCTTAAAGTTAGAGTGACCCATCGTTCTGATAAATCAATATATGCTGTAAAAGGGTTGACAGACGAAAGTGCACGTGACATTTCCTTCACTGTTGGAACTCCTGACGGTGAGCAACCTACAAGACAGATAAGTCTTCTTGAATATTTTCGGGAAAGGTATTCTAAGGCAGTCATAGAACATGAGAACTTACCCTGCCTAAAATTTGGGAAAGGCAAAAGAGTAAATTATGTTCCCATAGAGCTCTGTAAATTGGTTGAAGGCCAGAGGTTTCCAAAGGATGATCTGTCCGATCTGGACAAACAAGCTGATCGTAAGTTGAAGGGAATGTCAGTTTTATCTCCTGAGAAAAGGAAAAGTAAAATCAACGGCATGGTAGAACAAAAGCATGGACTTCTTGAGTATGTTGCTACAATCCTTGTTTAATGCAGTTACTCCTTCTATATGGTTCTTGTTTCACATTTTTCATAGTCTGTTATGCACACATTTAAGCTTAAATATCTTGAAATGCATGTTATATAAAATATTAATATTTGGAAACTACACATTGAGAAATGAGACATGTACGTGGTGCTTTTTATTTCCGCTATGACTTTTGGCACTATTTATTACTAACGTGTAAAATGAATAAGTATAAACAACAAATGTTATCAAGATAAGCGTTGTTGGATTAGTCGTGATGGGGAATTTTTTTGTGACGGAGAGAGTATTTATCAACACAATACTGCCTTCCATTTGCAACACAACTTTAAAACAAGAATGAGAACAAGAACAACAAAAAGAAATGGTAAGGAGTATTATACATGATTATTTACGTTGCTGATCTGTATTTGCTGCAGTCATTCATTCTGTGTGCTTTACTTGATTGGTTGACACATCTTGTTTACAGGTTTTGTAGTGAATAGTTTATTAGAATTATAGGTAACATTCCATCTATAAGGTTTTAGTCTTCTCACTTCTGTTATATTTTATACAGCAGTTTTTTTCTTCTTTTGGAATACTTTAATGGTTAAAGGTATCAAGCATGTGTCTAGGACATTCTGATTTAATGCTAATTCATTGTGGGTTAAACTGTTATGCTATGACACTGTCTCCAGTCTCCTGTGAGTGTCAAAGACTAAATTTGAAATGCAACTGATTAGAAGTTTAGAACCTACATTCTGACACAAGGATGTACGTTATGTGACGAAATGCTTAATTTTAATCATGTTTGTTTGCGATGATAAAGAGATTATGCTGGTCATTTGAGGCACCCACATATAGGATATGTGCACTATTGTCTGAATTTTATATAATGCTCCCTCTATCTCAGAAAGTTGGCTCTGCTACGAAAAGGTATTCAAAAATCAGAAAGAGCATTTGTTGGGCTGTTTTTATAATGCATTATTTAATAACCAATGTACTTGTTGTCTTGCCATTGCTACTTTATTCCAATGCAAAAAATTTATTTTGGGTAGTCAAATTTATTGTATCATTTCTATGAATGCTATGAGTACCTTTGACATGATTCTCTGTATTTTTATAGGGGTGAAATTAGAATAAATTTTGGAATTTATGTCACAACAAGCATGACAACAGTTGAATTTGGGGTGATGGAGCCGCCAAAATTGAAGTTGAGAAATCTAGATGGCTATGTAAGAGCTATAGATGTGGACAAAGAGAAATGCCAGTGGAATCTTGTTATAAATTTAGTCGTTGAAGGCACATCCCTTAAGCACTGGGCTGTTGTGGTATTCAACTATCCGGATTCTCCGAAAGAAGTAGATTTGGTGATGCTCTTTGTTCAGAATCTTATTAGACGTTGCAATACACTAGGGCTGCATATGGAGGATCCGGTGTGTACTATATGGGCTAGCATGGATGAATTGGAAAGCACAGACTCAGTAACTCGTGTTCTGGAACAGGTTCAGCGTGAGGCACACGAAACTAATGAAAGTAACCTGCAGCTTGTATTATGTGTGATGGCGCATAAGCATACTGGTTATAGGAATATTAAGTGGGTTTCTGAGACAAAGATAGGAGTTCTTACCCAGTGTTGCCTTTTTGAAATGGCAAAAAGAGGGCAGGACCAGTAGCTGGCTAATCTTGGCATAAAGATAAATGCTAAGCTGGGGGGTAGCACTGTTGAGCCTAATGATCAACCTTCTTTATTTGATGAAGCTGCAGACCATGTGATGCTTATTGGTGCTAATGTCAATCACCCACCTCCCTCGGATTCCTCGAGTAAATCAGTAGTTGTTGTTGCTTCAATGAATTGGCCAGCTGCAAACAAATATATTCCCAGAATAAGCTATCAGAAAAATCGTCTGGAGGAAATTAAAATGTTTGGATCTATATGTCTAGAGCTGATAAAATGTTATGAAAATATTAATAGATTCAAACCAAATAAGCTTGTGATATTTCGTGATGGTGTCTGTGAAGGGCAGTTTGATATGGTACTCAATAAAGAGCTTCTGGATCTGAAGGATGAATTGCGGAAAATAGATAATTACCACCCTACCATAACACTTATTGTTGCTCAAAAACGGCACCTGACACGCTTATTTCGAGCAGCCCATGGAGATGATGAAAATAACATACGTCCTGGCATGGTGGTGGATACAGATATAGTGCATCCATCACAATTTGATTTCTATCTCTGCAGTCACTGTGGGAGCATGGGTACCAGCAAACCGACTCACTACCATGTCCTGTGGGATGATCACAAATTTTCTCCTGAGAAGTTGCAGCAGTTCATATATCACCTGTGCTTCACCTTTGCTAAGTGTTCTAAGCCTGTTTCACTGGTTCCTCCAATCTACTATGCTGATCGGTTAGCCTTCAGAGGACGATTGTATTGTGATGCGCAGCGTCCTTTAGGAGAATCACCGTCTAATCGAAATCCAGCTCACTCTGACATTAAAAACTTCATGTATTTCATCTGACCGGGCTTTGCTTCTCCTATGTTGCACTTCCGCTCCATGGATTGGTCAAGGAAGTCTCGCACAGCTCATGTTTCAAAGGGTGTTGGCCTCATGCACCTTTAGGTTGCGTTTGTGCGTGAATCTAATACTCTTAA